ATCAGCCCAATATCTACTGTACATGAAACACTGGATAATAACACCATGAAAAAAATGCTGGTGAAATTGGCAAAAGGGGAATGTTTGTGTATGTTTGGTTTTTAGTTTCTTTCCCTGCTTACGCCACGTAAAATAGCGCCCCCTTTCTTTCTAGCATTTATTGACCAAATTAACAGCGTTAGTTTCTCTGAGGACAGGGACTGAGTCCTGCTCACCTAGATGTCCTGCACGCAGTGGGCACCTACCAGATGATAACAAATGGGAAACATTCCATGCTGAAATTAAAATATTCTTTATTCACAGGAAAAAAAAATGGAAGCTTGGAAGTAACTAGTTTCCTTAAACATAAATTCACCTTTAAATTGAAACAATTATTTCGGAACAAGTTATATATAAAGTTATTTATTAAAGATTAGGTTGAAACATATGCCAAAATTACAAATTTATTAATATTAACTTTTGCTATAAATGGTGTTATAAGGTGCTAGACATTTAAAAAATGAGCATTTTTAATGATGCCAGTTTTTACAAAGCAAACAAAAACTCAATAATAGAAGAAACAAATCAGACTCAAACTAAAATCCAATGATGTATTGGGGCCACAGTCTTCTAAAGTTTGTAAGCAGATACAGAAAACTAAGAAAAAGATGAAATAAGAAGAATTTTTTTTAATTTATTTTTTAATTTTTCTCTTTCTCTTTCCTTCACACCACATCAACAGGAAGGAAGAATTTTTTTAAAAAACCAAATTCACTGTGTACAACTGCACGGAAAGACTATACATTAATTTACTTTTTGACTTATGCAATAACTCCTTGTCTTGTTTTATGTTTTATCATTTGTACGGACAGCTGAAATCTAAAGATTTTCCTGGATTAAGACTGTTCTTTCTATCAATTTGATGTAAATACTTCCAAATCAACCAGGTTTTTTCCACTGGAAGAGTATGACACAGACGAGAAGCATAAGGGGAAGTCTGCTGGGTCACACAGTGATCTCACCACCATGCCGTGTAGGAAACCTGCATTCCCAACCACGTGAGACTTTAAATCCATGGTCATTAAGCTCCACAGGGTCCTTATGCCACTTTATTTTTCTAGTCCATTCACTTTCCTCAAATCTTCATCCCCATTTCCATCTTCTCTCTCAACTGATGACTTTGATTCCTACTTCACTGAGAAAGCTGAGGCGATCAGAGCTTGAACATCCACCCACCTAACCAGAATCTGTAACCACATCCTCTACCTTTGCTCCTATTCACAGGGATATGCTGTATGCTCTTGGCATGTAAACCTCTCTGTTTACTAGAAACCATCCCTCTCTCTTACCCAAGGATATGACTCCAATAATATGCCTCCCCTCCCTTCTCATCATTGTTTTCTACTCTCTACTGAATCCTTCCCAAAAGCATACAAATATGCTGCTATTATTCCTAATACCCAAAAACTGTCCTTTCCATGGTCTGCCCCATTTCAGTAAATGGCAACTCTGCCCCCTTCCAACTGTGTAGGCCAAACTTGAAAATCATTTTTAACTCTCTTCACACCCTACTTCCACACAATTGGCAAATCTCTTAGGTTCTTCCTCAAATCTAACCACTCCTCACTACCTCTTATGCCACCGACCTGGACAAAACCACTCCCATCTTTTATCTGGACTCCTGCATGCCTCACTCTGCTTCCATTCTTGCTCCCCCGGCCCGACACTCTTTATTCAGCACAACAGCCAGAGGGATCCTGTGAAAACATACATCACTGAATAAATAACAACTTATTCTTAATTCTAAAAACATTTATAAACCAATTTTCTTTTCTGTTTTTCAAAGTAAATTGAAAGATTTCTTTCTTAAATCTTTTCGGCTGTCAGGAAGAAAAAAAAATGGAAACCATCAAATTTGTTTCCCTAAATAACTTTACTTAACTCTCAATAAAGCCTTTTTCTCACCCAAGGGAAGACAGCCAAAAATGAAGGGAGCAAGTCTCCATAATGCCCATCCCTTAGGTAAAACAAGGATACCAGAACGTAACAAGTCTGTGCCCTTTAATCTGACCAACCTCTCACAACCATTAACTCTTTTTTTTGTTTTTGAGACAGAGTCTCACTCTGTTGCCTGGGCTAGAGTGCTGTGGCATCAGCCAAGCTCACAGCTACCTCAAACTCCTAAGCTCAAGGGATCCTCTTGCCTCAGCCTCCCCAGTAGCAGAGACTACAGGCATGCATCACCACACCTGGCTAATTTTTCTATTTTTCAATAGAGACAGGGTCTCGCTCTTGCTCAGGCTGGTCTCAAACTCCTGACCTCAAGCAATCCTCCTGTCTCGACCTCCCAGAGTGCTAGGATTATAGATGTAAACCACCATGCCCAGCCAGCTTTTTTTTTTAGAGCGCCACTTATTTCATTCTTGCAACTAAAAAAAACATTCCTTAATCACCATGCTCCTCTAGCTTTGGAGTTTTTCTGTTTGGTTCCGATTTGGTCACTTGCATTCCAAAAATAGGAAAGGCTGAATCACTGTTCCAAGGAGACTTCTCAAGTAACAATAATTAAAAAAGCAATTTTCGGCTGGGCACGGTAGGTCGCGCCTATAATCCTAGCACTCTGGGAGGCCAAGGTGTGAGGATCATTCAAGGTCAGGAGTTTGAAACCAGCCTGAGCAAGAGCGAGACACCGTCTCTACTAAAAATAGAAAGATGGGCAACTAAAATATAAAAAGCTGGGCAACTAAAAATATACATAGAAAAAATTAGCCGGGCATGGTGGTGCATGCCTGTAGTCCCAGCTACTCGGGAGGCTGAGGCAGAAGGATTGCTTGAGCCCAGGAGTCTAAGGTTGCTGTCAGCTAGACTGACAGCCATGGCACTCACTCTAGCCTGGGCAACAAAGTGAGAACTCAAAAAAAAAAAAGCAATTTTCATTGAGTTGGAGTTATCAGCATGGTGACTTGGAACCACATGTCCACTGGACAGAAAGACATGAAAGGATTTTCACTGAAGTATACATCAATTCTTAAATTCTCAAGTTCATTTGTGTTTTTTATGATAGAGACTCAAAAGGACAAATTTTGAGAGCCTTGTAGAAGATAAAAAAAGATTCAGTGAAAAGAAAGATTAAAACAGTCTTTTAATACATCAGTCCTCAATCTTTTTGGGACCAGAGACCGTTTTCATGGAAGATAATTTCTAATTTTTCCACGGACCGGGGAGGGTTGGGGGATGGTTTGGGGAAGATTCAAGCACATTACATTTATTGTACACTTTACGTCTATTATTAAATTGTAATATATAATGAAATATTTATACAACTCACCATAGGTTGGAGACTTCTGTTTTAACAGGACTCGTGCCCATTCAATTTCAGGGATTTTAAATGTAAATAAACTCTCGAACCCTGGACTCATAATAAATTGACAAAGACTATTCCTTCTAAGTCTTCCCTGTCTCTGTAAATGGCAACTGCATCCTTCCTGTGCCTCAAGCCAAAACCCTGAGGCGTCCTTGACTGGTCTTTCTCCACAGGTCCTTTGCACTTGCTGTCCCTCTGCCTAGAATACTCTTTCCCCAGTGTCACCCAGTGTCACCTTTACCACTGCCATGTTTCTTCCCAAACAGTCCCCTTTCCTGAGCAACTATTTAGAAGAGTAAACCGCCTCCAACACAGCTGCTTCCATCTTCCCTGCTCTGCTGTGCTCAAGGCACTGGCAGGTGCCAGACCAACTCCACATGTGCCTTATCTTGCTTGTTTATTAGTTTACTGACAGGCTCTCCCCACAAGAACATAAGCTCCACGGTCAGGGATTTTGTCTGTTTTGTTCAACACTCAATCTCTAATTAGAACATCTGACACGTAGTCTGGACTACGACATTTGTATAACTATAACATTTACTTCGGGAAAGGCAACCACTGAATCCTTATTCACTTATTCCTCCTAACAAGCTCTATAAGGACAAAAACATCCTTCCGGATGCATACTGATGGTCACATTTGGGCATAAATTCAGGAAGCAATGAAACCTGTCTCAGCACCTGCCCAGCACTTTTAAGCATACAAGATAACGCTCATTATTTACCTCTATTAACATAAAACTAGAAATTATTTTGGGAATTATAGGCAGCAGGTGGCATCACAATTTTACACGACACAGGTTCCTATTAAGTTCACCTACACATACAATCAGGTCTTACCATTAGTCATTGGATTCCCTTCTATTTTCAGCTGCCAGCATTAATGAGCCCATGACCTTCACTAATCTTACTGGAAACGATCTCTCAAGTGCTATCTTAACATTTTTCAATTCCAAACAGAAGCTCAAGTAACTTTTTCTGAAGAGTTAAAATATTTAATCATTCAAAAAAAGTCAAGTGCTTCAAAAGAACCACCTCTGCCCGAAAAATTGAGTATTAGCACCCACACCGCCACAAGTTCTCAGATGCAAACAAAAATCAAAGTGTAAGAGACATGAAAAGAGTAAATGGACACAATTATATTGATATTAACCAACAAGGAGGACGAAGGGTCACTGATAATTCAAGGAAAGAAAACTGTCAGGTCTTGAGAGACTATTTTCTCGAAGAGTTATCACAACTCTTTCTCAACATTCGAGTACACCGAAAGTCTGTACAAAGGTCGCCGTTTATTTTCTGTAGCTTTGCAGGGGAAAAGAAACCAATACTAACTCTCGGTTTGCTTTGCACGGGCAGCCAACTAATTAACAAGAGCGAAACTACAGAGCTAAACCCAGTCAGTCCCAGTCCGTTCCCGCGATTCCCACGTCAGTAGGTTCTCAGGCAACCTCGCGCAAGCGGGGAGGGTAGTTCGGCAGCACCGACAGCAGCACGGCGGGTACAGGCGGCCGGCCTCTCGCGTTCTAACCACGCCGTGCGAATTTCCACCAGGCTGCTCCATCCCGCGAGCGGCGAGGCTCCGGCGGTGGGCACCGCCCAGGGCCGCCCGCACCTGTCACCTCGCACCTGGCGACCCCCCGGCGCGCCGGCGCGCTCACCGTCGCTGCACTTGTACTGGCAGAGCCCGTCCTCGCCTCCCAGGAGGTCCAGGGCGGCGTTCAGGTACGTGTCTATCTTGTGCACGCCGTTGCGGATGGTCTTCAGCGTGGCCCTCCAGTCGGGCGTCTGGGCCTGCTCCTGGCACCCCACGGCGGCGGCCAGCAGCGCCAGCAGGAGCGGGAGCGCGGGCCGCGGAGCCGGCCATCCGCGCAGCGCCGGGCCGCGCGGGCTCCTCGGCTCCCGGCCCTAGGCAGCTGCGCGGTCCCGGGCTGAGCGGCCGCCGCGGGCTCCACGCCACGCTCCGTCCCGGCCGCGGCGCCCGCCGCCCTCACAGGCCCGCCTCCCGCGGCGGAGACGCGCGCCTGGCCCGTCCCCGGACCCGCCCCAGGCCCGCCACCGCGGCGGCCTGCGTACCTGCGGCGGAACGTGCCGCGTCAGAGGCGCGGGGCGGGGCCTCCTCGCCACGTGGCCGCCCGGACGCGCCCCCGGCGCTGCTCCCTGGCTCTCGTGAGAACTCCCGCGGGAGCGGCCTTGGAAAATACCCAGGCCCGGACCGGGTCTCTACGGGCCTGCTTACAGCAGTCCGGGCGGCAGTGGGCCGCGGGTTGTTTAAAGCCCTGCGGGCGGTGGAGCAGTGCAGGGAGAGTGGAGAACAGCCGGCCCGGCCCCCGTAGCCGAGTCTGACCCGCCCGGCCCGGCTCCGCCACCCGGAGGACACGCTTGTCTGCGTGTGGACACCTCCGCAGAGTTAACTCCCTCGCCCGCCGCAGGTGCAGCTGCGTTTCCTGGTGGGAAACGCGATTCTGCTGGAGACCCGGGCCTCACCTGGGCCGCCCCTCCCGTCCCCGCCGGGTCCTCAAGACCCCCCGTGGCCGCAGTTGGGGCCCGGGAACCGGGAGATGCCTGCCCGAGGCCACGCGTTGCCTGACTTTAACCAGGTTGGGCTAGATGCCAGTTTAGACTTTCCGGAGGAAAAAAAATAGTTTGACAGTAAAAACCCCAAGTTTCTTTACCTGGTAAGGAAGACTCAGTAGTCTACATTTGAATGTAGTAAAAGAAAAAAAAAAGGCAATCCCTGTTTTTCTACTCAGGATATTTTGTAACTTGGTAGTTGTTTGTATTCCCACTCCCTCTCCCCTGCACTGTGCAGGATCCATAAGTAACGATTGCAGTGCTTTCTACCAGAGCTACAAGTATCTGGTTATCTTAGTATCCCAGCAGTTTCCAAGCATTTTACAGTAAGAGCCAGGACAGCGTTGCAGGTGTTGGGAATAGGTCCATCCTTTCTGTAAGAATTACCAATAAATTCTAGGTTTGGCTCTTTGTGTTTGTTACAGAATTCATGAGCTTATAATAAATGTTCAGTGCAGAGTTCATAAAAATTACATCTCTCTTTATTGAGTGCTTACTGTGTGCCAAGCGCTTCACACAATCTCTCACATTCAGAACTCCGCTTTAGGGGCATGCACATGCCTGTGGGCCAGTTAGAAACATTAGACTCCATCCCTGCAGTGGTGCAGCTGTAGCCCGACCCAGGCTGGGTTAGTGGAGACCTGGCTGGACTTTAGTCACCCTCAGACCCTCAGCCAGGCACCTGGGCAATGATCAGTTCCTACCACAGTGGAGGAAGGGGAGGAATTGTCCCCAGAATGTATAATTATCCTGATTTTTTTCCTTTTTTTACAATGAATGAATCCACCTGAGAAGTCATTTGACAGTATCCAATCCAAGCCAATGCCTCTTTCTGTTTTCACAGGATGCCAAAGGTTTTTTGTTTGTTTTGTTGTTGTCGTTGTTGTTGTTTTTTCAATTTTTTGGACAGCACATTTCAACCCATTTAGAAAAGAGAACATAGAATCATTTTCTTAACTTTCTGGAACATTGGTTTTCTCATCTTCAAAGTGTGGATGTTGCAAAAAGCCACCTCATTCAAATGTTTATCATGGCATAATTTACAATTGCAAAGATATGGAATCAGCCTAAGTGTCCATCAACTCATGAATGGATAAAGAAAATGTATATATACCATGGAATACTCAGCCATAAAAAATAACAAAATAATGTCTTTCTCAGTAACTCAGATGGAACTGGAGACCATTGTGCTGAGCAACATATCTCAGAAATGGAAAAACAAATATCACATATTCTCACTAATAAATGGGAGCTAAATGTGGCTACATAGAGTCACAAAGAGATGTAAAGGACATTGGAAACCAAGAAGGGGGGAGGGTGGGAGGAGAGTAAGGGATAAAATCTTACCTATTGGGTACAATGAACACTGTCCCGGTGACAGGCACACTGACAGGCATTATACAGTGTGTTCATGTAAAAGAAACATTTGTACTCCCTTAACATTTGGAAATTAGAAAACAAAAAACAAAGTGCGAATGTTGGACTAGATTACCACTGAGGTTCTAAGATACCACCCAACTCCACCACCATATCCTTAAACAGGCTTGGTCTTTCAAATTTTATTCCAGAGAAATTCCCTGGTTCATAAGTAAGTCTCCCAAAAGAAAGGACAGAATGTAGTAAAATAACCTGGTTCCAGTCCTCAGTTATGAACCAAACCCAAAGCCTCTCCTTTTTTTTTTTAATCTTTTCTCTAAACATTTACTCCATTGCAGTGTCATCTAATTTCTTATGCCTTAACTACAGCTTATGCTGTGAGGACGCAGACTTAGTCTTCTATGTCTCATCCCTCCTTAGGGATTAAATTTGCAAATCATTGAGCTGTGAATAAGTGGAATTTAAAACGGACTGTAGATCACCTGGGAAAGTAAGGAAAGTGGCCAAAAGGAAGAGGCTGGGACAAGCGGGGAGTGGGGACCGTGCCTGGAGGGGCCTAACGCTGCTGTGAGGAGAACAGCTCGGTGACTATGAGGTCTGAGGCCATGGGGACCCAGGGTTGTGTTTACTATCTGTGTATCTGTGGAGAGGTTTAGAGAAAGAGTCAGAGAGAACTTGTGAAATGAGGGACCAAAATAAAATTTTCAAGAAATTTTAATACTTAAAGAAGCAGAGAAATGGGACAAGAGCTGTGAGGCCAGTTGTTACCTGTGACAGGTACTATGCCTGCCAAATACTTCACATAAGTGTGTAATTTCATTGTCACACAATTCCAGTTTCCATTTTATAGATGAGAAATGAGGCACAAAGAAGAAAATGAATTGACCAGGGACAAATGTAGGTGGTAGAGCTGGGACGTGAACCCAGGCGAATGTCACTCAGCTAGTTACACCTCTAGTATAGTCAATACCTCACTCCTGCATGACAGATAATTTAATCAAACTTTCTGGTAAATAAAATTTGTATGCTTGACCAAAATATTTATCTGAGAATTATGCAGCAAAATTCCAATATAGCATACACTTTGTAGAGACCTCTAAAAATATCCAATGAGATTTACTTCATTTTTGCCCTTAGAGAGGTATTAATTATACAATTTCATTTCAATTAAAATGGAATAACTGAGAGGAAAAAAAGGAGAGGGAGATGACAATTTTATATATTATACTGAGAAATAAGAGATCTTCCCACATGGTGGCCGATCCAGTCAAAATAATTGGCCACTTTGGTGTAAACACCTGGGAACTCTGGTTTTCCACAGTTTTCACCCCAACTCACGACACCCCAAACATAAGTCACGTTGTTGGCATCCAAACAGACTAAGGGACCTCCGGAGTCCCCTTTACAGGCATCGATGGAACCATCAACTGTACCTGAGAAAGAAATGGGAAAGAGAAGATCACACACTTCCTTCCATTTGTCAAGGCCACGAAGCCTGCTCTGCTTCCTGCCACCTCCACTAAGGCATGCAATGACTTCGGCTTCCTTAAGCTTTCCTGAGGAAATGACATGGGCTCTCCATCCTTGTGGGGGCCTGCTGGGCTTGCCGAGTTGGAGAGATGCAGGTTGGGAAACACTTTACAAGTCTTCTTTCACTGATTCCCCCAATTCAGCATGTTTTTCCTGTGTTCTCTACTTTAAGCAACTGTATGCTAAGATGAAATTGCAACCCAAAAGTTGCATCAGATGCTGAGTGGGAATAGAATAGGAATACCGAGTGCTAACTGAGTGCCTGATATGTATCAGTCATTCATGGTTTTACTCCTGACCACAGCCCTAATGAGGTAAGCATCATTATTGTCCCTAGTGTACAGGTGAGACAAATAAGGCACAGAGCATTTAACTAACTTGTCCAAGGTCACACAGCTAACAAATGGCGGCACCTGGACTTGAACCTGGCAACCATACCTCAGAGCTAGTCCTCTTAGCCATGATACTGCCTCCTGGCAGATTTGGTGCTATTCACCCCTTTTGTCCACTGTAATCCTGAACTCCATTTCAACACAGGAGGGCACCGTCTTCTCACTCTTCTGACTTTCTAAAAATTTTAAATCACTTTACCCGAGAAGTTATAGGATGTCAGTAACTGCCTCTTTCAGTAATACACTATTTAAATGGTTTCAGTGAAGCATCCTAAATACACTGGCTGGGACCCAGCCTTTGTGTGGTGTTGGTCAGGAGAATTAGCTTGACCACGATATCAACACAGACCATGGCATAAGAAGTGCAATGTGATTTCCAGGGAGGGGGAATCTACTTCCAACTGGGGGCATTTGGGATGAGATAACTTGAATTTTTATTTAGAAGTCATTTTAGTTTTGGTCCTGGGTATACCCTCTCTTGTCTGTAAGGCTTTGGGCAAATTATGTAACTGCTCTGCTCCGTTTCCTTATCTCTTTAGAGCCTCAATTTTCCAAATGAGGAAACCTGCTTGAGGTCACATTACTAGTAGTTGGTAAAACCAGAATATAGATCCAGGTCTGGTTCCAAAGTCTGTGTTTAGTCACCTTGCCGTACTGGTACATAACAGCTGTAGGGAGATTTTCCCTCTCAGTATTAGAATAAGGGAACTTGAGCTACAGGGAAGGCCTGGAAGGAGTTTGACAATGCAACAGCCAGAAGGCTGAATGGACGGGCTGGCAGGGGCTGGCAGGTGGGGAGGAGGTGTTCGCCAGCAGGAATATATGTGGATCCCAGATGAGACACTTAGCACTTACCTGCACACTCCATTTCTTTTTCATAGAAGCGATTTGGGTAAAACTTAGAGCAGTTGCCAATTAGGTTAACTGCACCCCACTTAAGTGAATGGACCCTTTGGTTATCTAAACCAAGTGAGAAAACAAACAAACATTTAGAAGTCACAAAAGAGAACTCGAAATACTCTCATAACTTAGTAAACCATTAGGGCTATAAAAGAGTATATATTCTTTAACACATACGTACGCCTTTGAGGACAATGCCTTAGCATATCTAATCATACTCTCCTTGTATCCCCATTTCTATAATCGTCTTTATAAAATTGGATGGATAGGCAAGGGAGGTTATTGAGCATATGGTCTAAAGTCACACTCATTAAAAAAGAACTGGTACCCTGAGTTGAATGAGATAAAATCTTTCTCCTTTGGTTCAGTCAGGCGGCTGCCCTAGTGGACAGGAATCAGAGATGGGATCCTGTCACATAAATACCTCCTATCTTCTTACAATCTCTATTTCCTTGAAAGCCCTTGTTAGAGTGAAAACAACTTTTTAATATAAGAAATTTGACCCGGGCGCGGTGGCTCACGCCTGTAATCCTAGCACTTTGGAGGCCGAGGCGGGCGGATTGCTCAAGGTCAGAGTTCCGAAACCAGCCTGAGAGAGACACCATCTCTACCAAAAATAGATAAAATTAATTGACCCAACTAAAAATATAATATAATACAAAAAATTAGCGGGCATGGTGGCGCATGCCTGTAGTCCCAACTACTCGGGAGGCTGAGGCAGGAGGATCACTGAGCCCCGGAGATTGAGGTTGCTGTGAGCCAGCGCGACGCCACAGCACTCACTCTAGCCTGGGAACAAAGTGAGACTCTGTCTCAAAAAAAAAAAAAAAAAAAAAAAAGAAATTTGAATAAAGAAAATACATAAGAAGTTATCAATGCGTGTGTCTGGGAAGAAATCCATTTGCTAAGTGATTTGAAGTGATTCAGGCGGGGCGCGGTGGCTCACGCCTGTAATCCTAGCACTCTGGGAAGCCGAGGCAGGAGGATCGCTCAAGGTCAAGAGTTTGAGACTAGCCTGAGCAAGAGCAAGACCCCGTCCCTACTAAAAAATAGAAAGAAATTAGCTGGACAACTAAAAATATGTAGAAAAAACCCTGAAGTGATTCAAAGGGGAGTTAGGATTTCCTTTCTATTTAAGTAAAAGTTTTGGGACTTGAACATCTATGGTCCAAGGCAAGAGAAGGGCTGGGGTACTGCGGACAGACTAGGGAAGATGAGAAAAACAGAAGAATGCAGGGTGAGATGTCTCAGGGATAAGGAGTGAATCTTTGCCCTTCCTCCTTTCCCGCACATCTCAGCGATTTTTATGCTACAGTTTCTCATTCCGTGTCAGCTTCCTGGCCACCCAAAGCTCCAAGAGGGCAGGGGGTAGCCTGACTCATTCTCCCCAGCACCCAGAATCATGCCAGCACGAAAATATTAGTTGCTTAATAAATATTTATGTGGCCGGGGCGGGTGGCTCACGCCTGTAATCCTAGCACTCTGGTAGGCGGAGGCGGGCTGATTGCTCGAGGTCAGGAGTTCGAAAGCAGCCTGAGCAAGAGCGAGACCCGTCTCTACTATAAATAGAAACAAATTAACTGGCCAACTAATATATATAGAAAAAATTGGCCGGGCACGGTGGCGCATGCCTGTAGTTCTAGCTACTGGGAGGATGAGGGCAGAAGGATCGCTTGAGCCCAGGAGTTTGAGGTTGCTGTGAGCTAGGCTGATGCCATGGCACTCACTCTAGCCTGGGGAACAAAGCGAGACTCTGTCTCAAAAAAAGTAAAATTAAATTTAAAAAAATGAAAAAAATGAAAAAAAAATTTATGTAATTAATTAATGCATGAACTCACAGTAATTCAATTATATGCTAAGTATCTTATGCCAAATGACTCCTCCCATCAATTAATCTATAAACTCCCTGGGACAGAGACCTCTGGTTTTTCCTGAGACGACACCCCCACAGACCCCAGCACTATAGTGCACACATAGTATTCTACTCTCCTGAGAAGCATCGAAGTATATGGCAAATCAGGAAGGAGTTTCTTTTTTTCCTTCAAGCTTTACTTCAAGTTGGTCTCAAGATGGCTGCCTTTCTCAGACCAAGGGCTTTTTTTTAAAACTTAGTAATTTATTACTTCCCCTAATTCAGGAAAAGTCTTTGAAAACTGTAAGGAATTTTTAATGGCTCAGGAGTTAGCTCCCTCCCCTGCACTCTTGTTTTGTACACTGCTTAAGGGACTTTGTCACATTCTGCTGTATGATGGTGTCATTCGTGCTGGTGGCTCCTCTGTATGGTGTCTTGACCTGTAACAGAACCCAGGTAGAGGCAGTAAAAGCACAGAATTATTTACCTCTCGACTTCAAGATGGCCATAAGTGCCCTGGCTAATTTTTTCTATATATATTAGTTGGCCAATTAATTTCTTTCTATTTACAGTAGAGATGGGGTCTTGCTCTTGCTCAGGCTGGTTTTGAACTCCTGACCTTGAGCAATCCGTCCGCCTCGGCCTCCCAGAGTGCTAGGATTACAAGCGTGAGCCACCATGTCCGGCCTGTTCATAGTTTTTTTAAAAATTATAGTCCGTCCCTCCAATGGTCTGAGGGACAGTGAACTGGCCCCCTGTTTAAAAAGTTCGAGGAGCTCTGCTCTAGGTCTTTGCTTCTCTCTCAGCAGCCTGATCTACCTGACACTCTCTCCTTCTGGTAACTTCTCCTTCCCTTCTGCCTTCAGATCTAGGAGTTGCGGCGGCTCTGGTACTGCTAGTCCTGGGCACCTGCCTAGCCATTGTGGTTCCCCGATTCCCCTGTTCACATCTTTGTAATTAACCCTTTTATAAATAAACCTTCCTAATTGCCCCATTGAGACCCTGGTTGATACAGGGAGGTAAAAGAAGAATGGCAGAATATTGATAACCGTGGAAACTGGATGATGAATGAGTAAGGATGTATTATACTCTAATCTCTGCTTTTGTGTATACTTATAAATGTACATAATGAAAGTTTTTTTAAACAAAAACAAATATAAGGACACAATAACTCTGGATGAATTATTTCCTAATAGTATTTAGCATTTTATAGTATTTAGTATTAGTATTTAGTAATTTAGTATTTTATAAGTGGGGTATTCAAGTGAACTACACATCTTGGTCAATTTCAACATATTAATATATTTGACACTTCTCAGTGTGGTGATTATAAAGAATATGATGGAATATGAGTCTATAAGGCCAATGCAATGAAGTTACTTAGAGTTTCTGCTAACAAAGAGAGTTTAAGATCTCAAAAGGAAGTTAAATATCAAGGTTAAATCTTCAAGATGAAGGGGAAAGTGTTGGGTAGTTTAATTCTAATCTAATCTCAATTCAGCAGGTCTTTCTAATAATTTGTTCTAAGTGTCCACATCTTGTATTCATGTCAAGTGTTCACCTCAAGTCTTTTTAGAAGTTCAAAGAATGAATTCTCTCTCTCTTTGTGGGCTGGGTGGGGATTGGGGAAGGAGAGAAGAGGGGAAGAGAAGGAGGGTTGTGAGATTCAACACGTACCAAGGCTATCCCTTCCAAACCTTTCTTCCACATCTCCCCCAATCAATCCACAAAATGCCTGCTGTCCATTGGCTGTCTTAGACTTTTTCCTGCTGAATGATGACCCGAAACGTTTGCTTCAGGGTCACAGAGAGGGTGTATGTGTCTACTGAACGCCTGGATATAGACTGGCTACAGAATTTGCAGGGTCCATTGAAAAATGGAAATGTGGGGTGAGGCCCTTTCAAAAATTGTTAAAAGTTTCCTAGTGGCGACAGCAGAGCATGGGGCCTGTCTGAGCGTGGGGTGCCGGCCACTGCACAAGTCACAGATCCATGAAGCCAGCGCTGGCTGCATGCTCACTTTTCTAGACACGACGCTATGTTCCTCTCTGACTACTAGGAAATTAGCGCCCATGCACGTCTATCCCACCCACTTCCAGCCTCCGGATTCTGATTGACAAATTACGAAACATACCTTTTCCTCGGCCCCAGCCAGAAACGATGCATCTGTCGTTAGGTTGGAACAGATATGGAGACCAGGGCACGCAGGCAGGCACGGACTTAGGCAGCTCGCAGTGTTTTGGGTTTGGGTAGCCTTTCATTTCTATCAACGCTATGTCATTTTGGTAGGTGCTTGCATTGTATTTTTCATGGATAATAATTCTATTCACCAATTCGACTTTTATCTCAGCATTAGGTTTTATCCAGTCTAATAACGATGTCCAGATTTGGTAACGGTGCGTTTTACTGACTCTATAGCAAAAAAAAAAAAAAAAAAAAATGGGAGGAGGGGGAAATAAAATATATTGAGAAAAAAAGGTAAGTATAGAATTTTGACACTTTATTCTTACACTCTCCCTTTTAGAGGACTTTTTCATTTTCCCAGATTTTTAAAATTCTCGCTGCCATGAAGCAGTGAGGTTAAGTTGACTCAGAGCAGATTTAGGTCAGCAGTGAGTGGTAAAGACAGCAATAAGCCACTACCTGCTCAGTATCAGGAACATAAAGAACTCACTAGCAAGCAGAGCTGCCCAGGAGTGGAGCAGGTTTGTTGCCTGACGGCAACAGCAAGAGTTGCGGGACTGGGCAGCGGGACCATGTACTCTCCTTGCTCTGCCAACCAGAGGTTCTCAGGGCAAAGACCACAGCAGACCTTATCCTGACCCTTAAGACCGACTTCATCCTATCACTGCATTGCGTTTATTTGTGCACACGCCTTTCTTCCCGCCAGCCTGCGCTGCTAGAAGTCAGAGCTAGGATCTAGTTCATCTCTGCAGCCTGAAGCCTCGTATTGTACCTGGAACACAGTAGCGGCTTTAAAATCCTGTTGAGATAGTGAATGTGCTAAATATTGCCTGTTTGTACGTCTCACTCCATTTTCATACCAATTTTCAACTCATGGTTTCAAGCAAATTGGGCACCCACCATCACCTTCCTGGGGAACAATATAGAGTCACTTTGGTGAACTATTATAGCTCAGGTTTTGTTTGGAGGTTTGTTCTGAATGAGGATGCTAAATAAAAACGTCAAAGTCTAGCATTTCCAAACAATTAAGTATTTCATAAAATGGATTTTCATTAACCAATAAAACGTAAACAATTTAATGGAAATCTTTAAAAAATGAATTATCTATATATTTTCTGCTTTCTCAAGCATAATAAACAGACTTGATCTTTATATAAGGATGACTTAGGTAATCACCCTAAACGCTGATGTCCTAGGAGATAACGAGCTGTTCAGGACACTTTCATGTACAGCGTTCTAAGAATTGTCATTCATATTAATTTTGGTTATTTTTCTATATCAGAGGTCCTGAATATTGCTGAAAGGTTAACTGTTTATTTATTCACTGGGTTAGGCACTGAGAGGAACCTGCTGTCTGTTCCAGGCACTGGGTTAGGCACTGAGAGGAACCTGCTGTCTGTTCCAGGCACTGGGTTAGGCACTGAGAGGAACCTGCTGTCTGTTCCAGGCACTGGGTTAGGGGCAGCACTATTAGGGAACAAGGGTAAGGAAGGTCTTTCCAGGCAGAGGAAATGATTATGAAAGTCCCTTTGCAGGAGTGAGCAAATGCACTGGAGTAGCTGAGACAAGCCCAGGTGGGTGGAGAGGAGAGCAGGAGGTGGCGCTATGGGGCACGATGAGCTTGGTAAGTGCGCATGAACGTTTTGTTTAGATTTTTATCCTAAGAGGAATGCCAAGCCACTGAATTTTAAGTTGTAAGTGATCCAAAGTGGGTATGGAACCATTACTCTTGCCGCAAGCAGAGGAAGGAGAGATGGGGCTCAGTAGAGAACAAAACGCGAGCAGCGCCGCCCACTCTCCCACCGTGCGCACCAGCTGGCCGGCAACTCGCGCCTCTGGCTTGCTCGCCCTCACCAGTGCGCTCACAGCCTGGTGTGTGGGGAACGCAGCATGTTCTGGGGCATTGGCCTCTGGGGTTCACGTCCTGAATACCAGAGGAGATTTAGCCATTAATAGAGTGGAACATCAATGGCTTTTCTCAGATATCCATTTTGTTTGTTGTGTTTCAGGGACAGAGTCTTGTTGCGTTGCCCAGGCTAGAGTGCAGTGGCACAATCGAGGCCCACTGCAGCTTTGAACTTCTGGGCTCAAGGATCCTCCTGCCTCAATCTCCCCAGTCATTGGGACCACAGGCCACACCAGCACACTTGGCTAATTTTTAAACTTGTTTTCAGAGATGGGGTCTTGCTATGTTGCCCAATCTGACTGGGAACTCTTGGCCTCAAGCCATCTTGGGTGCGCTTTTGCTTATCATCTGCCACAATCTCTATTGCTCATTTTCACTGTTTCAGGGAATCTAAAATGTATCGAAGGCATTTTGTACCTGACACAATGTGCAGCAGTCAGAATCCAACAGCCACCGATATAAATCCCCCCACAGGAGATTCCCTGGGCTTCCTTAATTCCCACCTGCCACGGGAAGTCTTCCTGTAGAAAACATGGACGTGGTCACTGCCATGCTAGCAGGAGTGATGCAAACAGCCCTGAGCTATTTCCGCGGCAAGACTCCCAGCCTCCTGGAATCCCACCCGCCCTCCTTTCCTTCCCCAGCCCTGGCTGCTGCGGGAGGGCCGTGGTCCGTGCCCGGTACCGCGTGGTGCGCCGGCGTTCCTCCCACCACGCGCTTCCTTCGCGCCTGCACGCTGCTCTTCACTCCACACGATAGTTTCGGTAATGATGCCTTGATCCGTTTTCTTTCTTCAAGAAAAGAAGAGATCGTACATTACTATCTTGAACCCATTTCCCTGCGGACACTTCCTGATCCTCCATGCCACAAAAGCAGCAGAGTCACAGCTAACATACGACAGCCTGGATTCATTAGTAGATCAGTGTGACTGCTAAACTGTGCTATTCGCCTCGCTCAAAAATTCTGGCTTAACACTGAAATTGGCTTGATTCTCTGAAGTTCTGCCTACAGGTGGACCGGTGACAGAAATGGGCTGGCCGAGGGTCGACGTGCCGCCCTGGCAGGTGAGAGGCGCCGCGCGCAGGCGGCCCGCAGTGCGGCTCAGGGGGAAGCACGTTCTGAAGTCAGCAGGGAAAGCCGACAACGGGGGCACTGTGTCTGCTCACTCTCACAGCTTTTGCTTTCTAGACGCCGTTTAGAGGGAGCTCGTTTCAATAATATTAATAGTAGCGTTAATGATATTAATACTGAGCACTTTCTATGTGTCCAGCCCCATACTAAGCGCTTTGTATATAGTCTATCTCACTTAATCATCATGTTGACCCTGAGAGGTGATGCGCCAGGCACCCCTGGGCAGGCAGGCCAGCAGACTGGGGGCGTTTTTAGCCATTTGACATGTGACAATGTTTCCTTCCTCTGGGAACATGCAGATGTGGCTCCTTTGTCACTGAGATGACATAGCACAGCGGACTTAAGACATGAATTTGCAAGAGAATTCATGGCAATGGAAGAAAGTAAAAGTGTAAGATGCTCCCTTTATTTTCTATATTTTGCCATGTCATGAAACTTTTTGTAAACTTGCTTATTAGCCCCAAATGAGAAAGGAAAATTTCTATCACTGTTAATCATTTTGGAAATACCAAAATAAGGTAGGCCCCCAAGAAGAGAAGTTGTGAATGAACGTGTGTAGATTTTTTTTTGGCCTCACCTATCCTAAGAACTGAGTCAGGGGAAGAGTGTGATGGTGAGTCTTACATTTTTGCTTGGACCTTTGAAAGAAGACAGACCTCCCTGAGGACTGTGAAACCAGCGTGGTATCTGTAATTAATGTTACCTCGAGTGGAAAATAAAGGGCCCTTGTTGAAAATCCCCCTTGACTAATATCTGTAGCTTGGAGATCTAAATCTTTCACTCATTGCCTGATTAAAAAATATTAATTAATTTTGGGGACTGACAATTAGAAGCGAGTCTTACATGAACTTCACTTTAAAACCCTCCTGAAGGCCGGGCGCTGTGGCTCACGCCTGTAATCCTAGCTCTTGGGAGGCTGAGGCGGGCGGATTGCTCAAGGTCAGGAGTTCAAAACCAGCCTGAGCAAGAGCGAGACCCCGTCTCTACTATAAATAGAAAGAAATTAATTGGCCAACTGATATATATATAAAAAATTAGCCGGGCATGGTGGCGCATGCCTGTAGTCCCAGCTACTTGGGAGGCTGAGGCAGGAGGATCGCTTGAGCCCAGGAGTTTGAGGTTGCTGTGAGCTAGGCTGACGCCACGGCACTCACTCTAGCCTGGGCAACAAAGTGAGACTCTGTCTCAAAAAAAAAAAAAAAAAAAACCCTCCTGAAACAGGGAGTGACTGTATTCCCCGTTTCTACTGGAGGTGAAGTTACTCACCTAAGGTTACAGAGCTAATGCACAACTGAGTCAGGATTTTATGCAATATATCTGACTGCAAATCTCTAATCGATTACTATCTGCCCAAGAACTTAATACTTTCATTTAATTTGGCTCATAGTGCACACCTGGCCAGGGTACAGATCTTCAAAGGTTTTCTGTTACCATGATTTAAAACATTGCAAAATAACAGGTTAATTCAATTAATATCTATTATTTTTCTATTTCAAAATGTAGATCATAAGTCATGATTGGAATCTGGTTGTTCTGACAAAATTGACCTGAAAAAGTTCATATCAAAAAGTTTACATATTTTAAGAAGAGCTCTACCAGGAGTCAAAAAAAGCAGGGAGGCGGGATTTACATAGGACTAGAGTATTGTTTTCACTTCAAAATTAGCCATATAAATTAACCCAGTCTTAAAAACAGTTCTTAAGAATCATTTATGTTTGTTTTCCCTAAAAGTGATAGGAAAAGGAGAAGAATAATGTTATGTTTTCAATTTAAATTGATACCAGAATTAATTGTAGCTTGAATCAATTAGATATACATACATGCATATACACAAATTATGTTAAAAATTTCTGTCTAACCTAGTGAAACACTAATAAAAAAGTATAATGTTAACTTACCTGCATTCATATCAACAGTCAAAATTTCTGTTCCTTCTATGATAAAACAAAAAGTTCCAATGTTTAAAGTTGTATTTACAGTGAAAATTAAATGATTAAAATCATTTACATTTAGATAATGATTTTATGCCTTAAAATTTGTGTTCCCTTTAAAAGGACTGTACAAAATCCCCAAAGCATGTCATCTTATTTTCTTTCTGTAGCTAGGTAATTGTAAAATCTTGAGGGGAACTACATAGAAATTCTTTCTGGCACAAACTAGAGGTGTCTGTTGGTATAAGTGAGTGGTGAGACTCTTGGCGTCACAGTTTTCTGTATTTAGAGCAGGCAAAATGCACAGGTCAGAGAAGAAAAGCTTCTTCCTCCGCTCTGCATTCACGGGGCTTTCCCCGGGGCAGGGAGCCCCCACCAACACTGGCCAGCACAGTCCTGAGCTGACATTTAAAAGGCTCCTCTCATTTGGTACAGAATAAGACACGTCTTACGAGTTCATGCAAACAAAGATAGTTCACTGGTTGCAGTATTAGGTATGGTTAGCATTAGGCAGCCGTGATGCAGAAGTCATCAGAAAACAAAATTCTTTTTCCTCTTAGGCTTTTTCTTGAAATTATACAAGACATTTCCATCTTCACTCTGCCATCCTAGACAGGATCACAATTTCCTCGAGCTGGGGATCTGAAGGCAGATTCCCACCAACACGTTGCTCTGCCTTGGATGAAGATGCGGCTGCGATGTCCTAGTCCAGGCAGGCTGGGGACCTTTGCATGTTGCAACCTGCATTAATTTAGCTGTAATCCAATAAGGCCACATTCAAGAAACTTCAATTAGATAGACTTAAAAATGTACATTATTTTGTAAAAATCTAACTACTATGTACTTAATAATTTCAAAAAATGAAAACTATTTGTTAATTTTAAAGTTAACTAACCTTTTAATGACTTTGTGGTATCTGCTTTTTGTTAGAAAGCATTTGAATACTTGGTTGCAGCATGGAGGCCCAGTTTCAGTTGATCCTCTAGATGGGTGTCAGCCATGTGTGACCTTAAGAGTACCTTGATTGGGGTCAGGTAGGAGAATGTAGCTTCACAGCAGTAAGTGGTTGAAAGCAAGAAAGCATTTTTCGGGCATGCTGCCGAAGGTATGTGTATTCTACTGCATTTCTCCATATTTCAATTGGATCTTTCTTAGCATCAAACAATGATTTTAAAATGTCATCTACTGAGAGCTCGATCAGTTCCATCGGGAGTTCTTTAGGGGCCTTGATGATACCAACTAAGTGAAGCCGAAATGCTAATTTGATAGTGATGTCCTGATTCTCAAAGTCTGTGAACCTTTCATTATGTTCTCTAGTTAATAGGTCTATGATAGCTGTGTATTCTTCAAATTCACATATATATTCACATATATCATCCTGCTCATCAATGACCTTTGCTAACTAGGGAAAATCTTCATCTGAAATTTCATTTTGAAGATGATGTGTTTTGAAAAAAGATAGCTTTTTTTGAAACATATGGATTTTTTGCCACATATCATATACAGACTTAGTTTACCCTGCAAAGGAATATTCAAGTTGTTTTGATTTGACATCACACAGAAATGCTGTGTCCCTATAGAAATCTTCTTTCAATAATTCACATTGCTGATTCTGTTCTTTATAAAATTTAACTGTTTTTGCAGAGATAAAAATTTGGCTAACATCTGTCCCTGTGATAGCCAACACACTTTAGAATGATACAGCAAGTTCACACTGAATACCTCATTAATCAACTCTAGCATGTTACAAAACTGACAATGCCATGTTGCATTTGCATGAATATAGTTAGCATTGCTTATAACTTGTTGCAAAGTGTCACTCAAAATAGTAGCTTTAGCACAGAGATTTTGCTGGTGCAAGATATAATGAAAAGAAATGAGAACTTCTACATCTGTTAATACTTGTTTTTATCCATGCAAATAAACCCTTCATGTTTTCCTGTCATGGAAGGTGCACTGTCTGTACATACACTCACTAAATTTACCAAATGCAGTCCAACTTCATGACATTTATCTTCAAAGTTGTTGAAGATATCTATTCCCCAAGTTCTGTTCACAAGAGTGCCCAAAGCAAGAAACTCTTCATAGCAAAGAAAATCTTCTGTTATGATCCAAATAAAATATAAAACCTGTGCCAAGTTAGTAGTATTAGTTGATTTATCCAAAGTGATTGAATAATATATATTTTCCTTTTGAAATATTACATGATGTTTTTCTGTTAAGTTGATGGCTAATTCATGCTGCCAATCAGTTATGGTTCTGCTTGAAAGAGCCAGTTGTTTGTATTTGGAAACATTATTAGTGTCGAAGCATCCTACAACTTCAGCAATGCATTCTTTCACAATTTCTACATCACTGAATGGCTTCCTTTTTTCCCTGAGTATATAAGCTATAAGTTGCTTTAGTGGCATTATTTCCAGGTCTTATTGCTGCTTGAAAGAATTGTCTTTGCTGTTGCTTTTCATTTTCTAATTTCTGCAATATAACCTTTTGAGCCTCTCTCTCTAATTTAAAATATCTGTGGTCCTTATGAGTGTAATAATGCTGATGAGCATTGAATTTCCTTAATGTTGATATTGCAGTATTACAAAGCAAGCCAATCATCTTAGCTTTAGCAGAAACAAGGCAATATTGCAATTCCCAATCCTCATTAAAAAATCTGTTTTCTTCCTTTAGCATTCTCTTGGTCTCTTTGACATGATCGGCTGTTAAGCAGACAGGATTGAAAAATACTGTCAAGCTACGCAACTATTCACAAATTCTACTTCAAACAGAAACACAGCGCACTGTTGTCAAAAGCTGGTGACAGACAACGTACTGGACCCCCACACACTCTCAACAACCAGCCTGGGGGTAGTGACACCAGTCAGGTGGGGGAAGCTAGAACTAAATCAGGAGCGTAGCAGCCCTCGCTTTAGCCATCATGGCTTACTAATGTTCTAATTGTGCCAGTCAATCTGGAAGAGTTCTTTCATTGCAACTTATTTTATTCTTTGGTATTTTAAATATGTTCATTGTAAAAGTAGGAATACAAAAGATGAACAGAAATGTATTGATAAAAATAAAAGGAGTTGTTCTGTAAAGTTTGGATTCAGTCAAAAGGCTGCACTTAAGGGCCTAGAAGGCCACAGGTTCCCCGCCCGGGTCCAGGAGGGCAATGTTACTTCGCTGCAAGCCCGTGTCCTATCCCTGGATATCCCATGTTCTCTTTGAGGCCAGCATACATGTCTGTTATGCCAACACCTAAGTTGTTTCCTGGGGCAGAGAGGCTCTGCTCAGAAGCATTCACAAAAACACCCTCACAAATCAAAGACTCAAATATTCACATTAAATACTCAGCAAAGGAGGATGGGGAAGTTCAGTGTAGCTGAGGTGTACTGGCTATACGAAGAGCAGCACAAAGCTTCAAAAGCACAAACCATAAGAAAAACAATTGGTAACTTTGATTATATAAAACTTAGGGATTTCTATTCAATAGATACCACCATGGATAAAGTTAAAAGACAGATGACAAGACGAAAGAGGGTATTTGTATTCTCCAAAACTGACAATAGGTTAGTATCTAGACTGTAAAAGGAACCCTTGGAAATCAATGAGAAAGAAGATTTCAGTGAAAGAAATATGAAATTAAGCAAAGGATGTGAACTGGTGAAAGAATAGAGGAAAGAAAATGAAGAGAAAACTCAAAAAGCTAGTATGCACATGAAGAGAAACTCAAAGTCATTGGCTATTAGAAAATTCAAGTTCATAGACAATGCCATCCCTCAACAGTATGCCATCCCTTTGCCAGTACTACTGGCAAACTAGTGAGCTGGACAATGCTGCATACGGGGAGGGCTGAGGAGAACCCTTGGCACATGGCAGGACTGAGGACTGGTACAAAACAGCTCTGCCAAAGAACATACAGGCACTCGTAGTCAGATTAAGGAGTTGTACATCCCAAGACATTCCTTGTTGCCATGGTTTGAATGCAACCCCCAAAGTTCACGTGTTGGAAACTCAATTCCCCATGCAAGCGCGTTGGCAGGTGGGGCCTCAGAGGAGGTGATTAGGTCACCAGAGGAGGTGATTAGGTCACCAGAGGAGGTGATTAGGTCACCAGAGGAGGTGATTAGGTCATGAGGCCTCTGCCCTCACGGATGAATTAAGGAAGTTCTCTTGGGAGTAGGTTAGAGATAGCAGGGGTGAGCTTGTTATAAAAAGTGACTTCTCATTTAATATGTAACAATCTTATGAGTTAAAAGAAAAGAAAACAATTAAATAAAAAAAAGTGACTTCATCCCCCTCTTGCTCTGACTCTCCTGCCCTTCCACCTTCTGCTGTGGATGACACAGTAAGAAGGCCCTCACCAGAGGTGGGCCCCTCAAGCCTGGACTCTCCAGCCCGCACAACCCTAAGAATTTCTTTTCTTTATAACTACCCAGTCTGTGGTGTTCTGTTACAGCCATACAAAATGGACTAAGACACTCGCCCAGCTAGATGTCTCAGAGAAATCCTCCCACTCGTCCTTAAGGAGGGGATGCTGTCCCACCGTGGCTGGGACTTAAAGTGCATTGCTGATACAGTGGAAAGGAAATCGTGAAAGACGAACAGAGCGTTTTATTTAGCAGTTAGAAGCAACAGATGAGATGAACACAGAGCGACATGGACAGACCTTTAAAATGTAATGCTTTGTGAAAAGAACAAAAAAAGGAAATATGAGACCTACAACACAATACTATGTAAATGAAAAACACGCTCACAAGATAATAACACACATTGGATAAGAATGAATGCAAACAGAAAGACATGAAATCACTTTGAAATGGTTGTCTGGGGGGGGCAATGGGAGTGGAGTGAGGGGCAGGGATAAAGAGGAATAAGAAGCAAAACAAGAGAGGGGCCGTGCCTGCACTGAAGGTGGTCACCAGCAAAGAGCTGAATGAAGGGTATCACTGCCTCATGCCTGTGCCCCGGAGGCCTGACAGCAGGGAGGGAGGAGGAAGGAAAGGAAGGGTGGGGGGAGGGAAGGAAAAGGAATAAAGAAGAAAGAGGAGGGGAAAAAAGGGAACAGCAGCTTCAGAGAGCAAAATGGCAAGTGAGAGTGAATACAACAAAATCATGGAGACTAGGCATTTAGAGCAGGGTGACCTTGAGCTAGCGCGTTCCCCAGGAATCTGAAGAAATCCTGAGGAGGACTGTGAACTTCTGGCATTATGTGGGCTGGGGACTTCAGTCATTTTATATAAATATTTAAGAAAAGTTATTTGTGAAGAGACCTGTTAACAATAAAATAGGAAACAAACCAAAATCCCAAACCAACCAGCCAACCAAACCAAACAAAAACAAAAAAGAGTGGCCCCAAAGAGTTGGAGAATTTGGGGACATCTGTCTGATATAATAAGAAAACATCTATTATAAAAAAATACTCTCTTTTGTCTGGTGGCAATTTCTTCAGGAGGTGCCTTGGTTTTGAGGGAAAATGACAGGAAAAGGAGAAAGGTATTTGGCAAAGGTGACATGCAGGAGTCTCTCAGCTGGGACCCGGAACAGGTCAGAGCCTATCAGGGGCAGGATGAAGTAAGAATCACTGTGGGGGTGGATGCATGACCAGTGTGTAAACAACTGAGTTATAAAAGGGGACTAGCACACAAAGGAGGGTCCCTGCCCGAAGAAGAGGCTACTGCCCTGGCACTCTGGGGGCTCCGACCCTAGCTCGAGCTAGACAATAAAACTCCTTTTGATAATTACAGCCTCGGTGACTCTGTCTCTCAGTCCTTCGGCCTTGCGAATCTCGAATCTCGAATGTAACAGTTTGTCACCTTGAAGAAAGGCCTCTCTGTCTAAACTGTGTTCAAGCTGGGTTATCCCTAACACACAGTCAAATCGTGCTCAGAAACAGTAAACATTACAATATAAGACAATAGAACCTTAGTTTCGTTTCCATTTTTCAATATCCCAAGAAGTTAATAAAATTTTTACCTTGAGCCACAGGTGCAAAGCCTGAAAAAAAAAAAAAAAACACCACCAAAAAACAAGACCAAACATTTACCACAGCAAAGGATAATTTTCAATTGAGAAAAAATATACACCATATCAATATATTAATACTATACATATATCATAAAACCATAGCACCTTATTTTTTTTTTCAATTCTGTAATACAAATTTTCTATTATAAAAATAGGTAGCATGCACCTGTAATCCCAGCTACTTGAGAGGCTAAGGCAGGAGGATTGCGTGAGCACAGGAGTTCAAGGCCAGCCTGGGCAATATAGTAAGATCCCATTTCAAAAAAAAAAATTAGATTTACCTTGTATTGCAGTATGTCTGGCTCCTAAAAACAAAACAAAAAACTGACTATAGCAAGATTATTTTCATTGAAATAAAATATACAAAGATCATTACTATTTCAGAAATAGTAAAACAATTTAAATTAATCGTTACAAAAAGATAAAAGGAAACCATGGTATGCCATCTTACTTTGATTTTTAATATTGAAAAATAACTTTTTCATCTTGCATTTAAACACATGAATTTCATCATGGCAAGGAAATTGTTTTAGCTTGAATTTTAAAAAGGGATTAGTATTTTAGATACATTTGGACACACAGCAAATTGACTATACTGTTACATAAAATTTATAATTATCTTTAACTTATATTATTAAAAGGAGGGCTTATAAGAGATAAATGCAACCAAGATATAATCCAAACCTCCTTTGATTTAGGGACACTGACCTGGCCACTTAAAGTAGAGGTCAATGAATATATCGATATTTTTATATATATATATTTTTTATTTAATCTTATTTCACAGGGAACCCCGGCGGCTGCAGGTGAGCATGCCTGGGCTGGCAGCATTGATGGATTTTTGTTTTATATCTCTGTTCTCACTTGTCCTTTCTTGGAGAGGAAGAAAGTAGAACCATTATGAGAATACAAAAGGCAGAGCTCATCTCAAAGAAGGGTAAAGTGAAGTAACAGTGACAGCTGACTAAATGTATTTTGGATATGGAGTCAATAAATTGATGTAAAAATAAGATTTATGTTGTAGGTGCTCTCCTGCAGTGAGATTTTTTCCTAATAAACTAGTGAATTGTGTTTCTTGATCCTGAACCTTACAGTTTTAAGTTGAGGGAAAGGGGAGGCAAAGAAGAGGAAGAGGAGAAGAAAAAAACCCCAAATATTATTTTACTGAAGAAATCAAACTATAGCAAAAGTCATAATTTACTGTCCTCCTTGAAGAGCTTTCCTTTCTTCCTCTCTTTCCTAAGGACAGAGTGAAATTTAGTGAACAAAGAAGCGTTTCTGCTCAACTGCTTGTATACCTTTTGGGAGAAATCACATGAGTTGAAATCCTAAAAAGCATATTCTTGAATTTAAGAACTGATATCAACAGGAAATTAAACAAAATTTTAGTAAAGTCTACTACTGAACATATCAAGTCATGTCAAAATATAATTAGCGTCAATTCATTTATCCACACGCGCCTTCAACATTTATTTAATTATGTGTAAGGCTGTAAGGCACTTGTCCTAGGACATTTGGAACATAAAAATAGTAAGATACGTTCTGTTCTCGAGGTCTTTAAAGCTGAGAAGGAAGGCAGGCGCAGCGCAAGAAGGCGCAGTAAGCAGCGGGCAGCGGGCGCGGTGCTGCCCGCCCGGACCCGCCACGGCGGCCGCTGCGCAGCTTCTGGTCCGCGACGTCCGGTCACAGGTTGAAATCGCCAGGTGGGAGCATTTGCACCCAGAAACCCCCGGAAGCTGCGAACCAAGGCTGCCCTTTCTCTCTCCAAAGCCGCCGCTAAGCGCGCCGGCTCACAATGGGGCAGGTCCCTGGGCGGGCTGTAGGGACGCCTCGGTCCCCACCGCGTGTCCGCGCCCCGCCCGTCCCCACTGCCCACGTCGTCCCCGCCCCGCCTGTCCCTGTCCGTCCCCACTGCCCACGGGCGTCCCCGCCCCGCCTGTCCCTGTCCGTCCCCACTGCCCACGGGCGTCCCCGCCCCGTCCGTCCCCACTGCCCACGGGCGTCCTCGCTCCGTCCCTCCGTCCCCACTGCCCACGGGCGTCCCCGCCCCGCCTGTCCCTGTCCGTCCCCACTGCCCGCGGGCGTCCCCGCTCCGTCCGTCCCCACTGCCCACGGGCGTCCCCGCCCGTCCCTGCCCGCCCCCACACCCCACGGGCGTCCCCGCTCCGCTCTGTCCGTCCCCACTGCCCAAGGGCGTCCCCGCCCCGCCTGTCCCTGTCCGTCCCCACAGCCCACGGGCGTCCCCGCTCCGTCCGTCCCCACTGCCCACAGGCGTCCCTGGCTGCCCACGGGCGTCCCCGCTCCGTCCGTCCCCACAGCCCACGGGCGTCCCCGCTCCGTCCGTCCCCACTGCCCACGGGCGTCCCCGCCCCGTCCGGTCAGCCGATTTGCCAGGCTTGTGGGCGCTGCCTTCAAAATACGTCCTGGACCCGCTTCCATCCTCTCCATCCCTACCCACCTGCCGGAGTCACTCTCGTCCCCGCCAGCAGCCGCAGCTAAAGTCCGAGCGGCTCCCGTTCTGCTCCCCAGCACGCCTTGCCCCGCCTGCCTGGCACCTCCGGCCCCACCCTTCCCGCTCGCCCCCCAGTTTGTCCCTTAGCACCTCCCTACTGTCACCGGTGCCACCTGTCACACTGACCACCTTGCTGCTTTCCGCACAGGTGCTAGAACGTTACTGCGCCGCCTGGACCGGCCCGCAGATCCGCGGCTGCCTGCATTGCCCCCGCTGGTTACCTGCAAGCCACCTCAGGGGGCGACGCCGCCCCAGGTCCCCTGCCTGAGTGTCAAAACTTACCCTGAACATTTTATATCTTCTGTCCTTGCTTTATTTTCTTCTTAGTTCTCACTTTACTTAATATTTTACCTATTTTTTCCATTTACTGTCTTTCTTCCACCACTAGAGTGTAAGACCCATGAAGAGGCAGGGAATTTTTGAAATGTTACTCACTGCTGTAACCCCAGCGCCTAGAACAGGCCCGGCACACAGAGCGGGAACTTAATAAATATCCATCGGGTGAATGAAGATATTAAAATAACTTGAAGAGATTATTTCCTCCAGAAAGCAGTGACAGGAGCAGTCTGGATGGCACAGAGCAGGTGCGTAAGAACTATTTCACCATTGGAGGTCATCCAGGCACCAACTCATTGCCCTGGAACTTGGTAAGTAAAGGGGAAGAGGTAAGCACTATTTTGCCTTTCTACTATGAATTACATTTCATGGAAACAAAATAGTTGACGAAGGAAAGTTGTTTTTCCTGTGGGTGTCCAGTTAATACACGCAGAGGGAATGATAACGTTAGAGAGTGCCATTTTGCAGTCCCTAGTGACAAAATGGATGGAGGCAACAATTACAAAGGCTGTTGCCATGGTTAGGAGAAAGGTCGTGAGGGCACTTTTAAGTGGACACGGCAAGTGTGATCAACCTTAGCATCCCTGGGAGTGAGACAACCACACATGAAGACATTATATGTATTAATAATAGGAAATACATGGCCAGGTGTGGTGGCTCATGCCTGTAATCCTAGCACTTTGGGAGACCAAGGCAGGAGGATTCCTTGAGCTCAGGAGTTCAAGACCAGCTTGAGCAAGAGCAAGACCCCATCTCTACTAAAAATAGAAAAATTAGCCGGGAGTGGTGTCACATGCCTGTAGTCCCAGCTACTCGGGAGGCTGAGGCAGGAGGATTGCTTGAGCCCAGGAATTTGAGGTTGCTGTGAGCTACGATGACGCCAGTGCACTCTAGCCAGGGTGACATCTGTCTCAGAATAAAAAAAAAACGAAATACATGGCAAGACTCATCAAGAGCTATTGCTTAAAATATAAACCTTCCTTCTAATCAAGTCTTGTTAAAAAATTTTTATTTATTTTTTGAGACAGAGTCTCACTTTGTTGCCCTGACTAGAGTGCCGTGGCGTCAGCCTACTTCACAGCAAACACAAACTCCTGGGCTCAAAGCGATGCTCCTGCCTCAGCCTCCCAAATGGCTGGGACTACAAGCAAGTGCCACCACTTCCAGCTAATTTTTCTATTTTTAGTAGAGACGAGGGTCTTGGTCTCAAACTCCTGTGCTCAAGTGATCCTCCTGTCTCGGCCTCTCAGAGTGCTAGGATTACAGGCGTGAGCCACCGTGCCCGGCCTAATCAAGTCTTGTCAAGTCTTGTAAATGCAGAATAAGGAACATCTGATAGGCAAATTATCTAGTTTCTAGAAAAAAAAAATCAACAGCATGAAAAAAATTAGGGCTCGGAGATAGGAGAAGTAACTCTTAAAGAATAAAAGAAACTTCAAAAAAACTTAATAACCAAACACAACATTCAAATTCTTTTGAGATGTGAATGAGGAAAGTGAGTAAAGAAAAAAAAAAAAAAGACAAATTCTTTTAGACCCTGATTTGAACATATTAACTCAAAAAAGGCATTTTGGAGATAGTTGAGAAAATTTGAACATGGTGCTATAAAATGATATTGGGGAATTATTTTTATTTTAGGTACACTAATGAGAGAGTGGTTTTTTTCATATATAGTGTTTTTTTTTATCATTAGACATGTATATGGATGAAATTTGCTTTAAAATACTCCAACACACACACACACAAACAAACAAGTTGGAAGGGAGATGAACAAGACTAATAGTCTTATTTTTTTGTGTGTATATGACAACTTCTTTTAACAAAAAGTCCTGAAATAAGTAGATATTTAGTAAATAAAAATATGAAGAAATAAAGTTTTTCAAATGCCCACTCAGTAGTATTCTTACTGCTATAGCCACCTATGGTCCCTTAAGGTTGCATTCTACCTAAAGGAAAGTTTCAGAATCCTTTAATTCAAAAATGGAAAAAAGTCACCCCAAACTTTCAATTACCTTCACAATTAACTTCATCGTCGCCTGTAATGCAGTCCACCTCTCCATTGCATCTATACTGGCTTGGAATACAAACACCTGATTTGCAAAGGAAGCTGTCACCTCGGCAACCTGTGCAAACATAAGTAGGAGAGGGTTTTTCCATTTCTTAAAATTGAATGAGGTGCAATCTGAAATTCAATGGCAAAGTTGATTTTGGTTTTTTGGTCAGAAAAATGAATTTGGGGGCTTTAAAGGCTGGAGTTACATCTACCTTTACAGCACAGCTCATCACTTTGGTCTCCACAATCATTGACACCATCGCAGGCCTTCGTCTGAGAAATGTATTTCCCATTTACACACTGAAAGGACTCATCTGCTGGTAATTCTGCAAAGCAGGAATTAACCTTATTAAGGTTAATTAATTAATTAGCCTTACTCGATGGAGTTGTGGCATGACATCCTTATCACATTTTGGGGATAATGGAATCATTAAGATAAAGTGAGACTTCAAAAAAATGATATAAAATGAATTGGTAGTGTCAACATAGTATATATGATTAATAAGGAAAATAAATGCCCCAAAGCTGGCTTATAGAGGTCCTGTCATTTTCAACTGTGAAAATCAGCTTTGATCATGGGAGTCTGAAGGGGGATCTGGAATGAGGACTGCTTGCTGGCCTTGGCAAGCACCGGCTCTCACCCATTCCTTTCATGCCGCCACAGTAAGCCCCACGCCTACTTCCCAGATGATACTTTTTTTTTTTCTCTTAAAACTGAAAAGAGATGGCTACGGCTTTGGTCTTTAAAACCATACATATGGCTAAAATATTCCAGTGTCAGGACAGAGGGGGAAAGCGGCAATAGCTACCAGGAAACTTAGCCACTGATGTGACCACGTAAAGGTTTTACAGAAATGTATTGTATATGTGCTGGAACTCTAAAAGGAGATGCTGAGGTTTCTTCCCATGCTTGATTGGCTTGTGTTTGCCATGATAACTTTAATCTGGATGTTCAAACAAAGCAAAGGGGAGTTGGGCAACTTTGCTTCCTCTATAGGAACCTGGATATAAGAATATTTGAATGGCAAAAGGTAAAATAGGGGGCAAAGCACCAATGTAGGCTGTAAAGCCCCAAACATGATCAAGTCCATATCGCTGCCTCTGTGACTGGAAACTGGGCATCAGTCATTTGTTTACTGTGGGCCTGGTGTGAGATACCTAACCCTGCAGGAGGGGAGAGTAACAGGCGAGTTCTCCACCAACCTGTGTTCTGTGTGTGACACACCACACCCGCTAAACCCTGGTAGCCCTTAGTTGTTCTCTTAGTAAAAGTACATTCAGCCAAACTGGTCTCGAATCCCTGACAGTGCACATGCAGACATTCAGTGGAATTTAAATAAGTTTCTTCAGGAAAATTAAACCTTCTTCGAATATCAAGAGCACCTCTGCAAAATAGAATAAATGAAACATTATGGTGGAATAATTAGGACTTTGCATGTCCAACCTTACTGTAGGGACTAGAGTAATTCCCTCTCATTCTCTACACGTGAGTGACAGATTGGGCAACATACTTAAATTCTCTGAGCCTCAATACCTTCACCTATAAAAAGGAATATAACTACCTCACTGGGTTTCGTAAAGATTAACTAAAATAATAAATTAAAACTAGCCAGGGTTCACAATGGCAAACATTCAGCAAATATGGTTTTCCTCTCCCTTGTTTCCTTCTTTTTTTTTTTTTTTTTGAAACAGAGTCTCACTCCGTTGCCTGGGCCATAATGCTGTGGCGTCAGTCCAGCTCACGGCAACCTCAGACTCCTGGGCTCAAGCAATCCTCCTGCCTCAGCCTCCCGAGTAGCTGGGACTACAGGCATGTGCCACCATGCCCGGCTAATTATTTCTATATATTTTTAGTTGGCCAATTAATTTCTTTCTTTTTTAGTAGAAACAGGGTCTCGCTCTTGCTCAGGCTGGTTTCAAACTCCTAACCTTGAGCGATCCTCCCACCTCGGCCTCCCAGAGTGCTAGGATTACAGGCGTGAGCCACTGCGCCCGGCCTCCCTTATTTCTTATTAAGGAGGGAGGTTTTTCTTTCACTCCTAATGTTTCCTTCCGACCTGGAGTGTGTCATTCCTGGCCTTTCTATAGCCCTTAGATACTTTTCTCTCCAGGGAAGGGAGTGGATCACTTTGGTCAGAGGATTTTGTAAATATTAATGTAAATCAGGCCTGGTGAGCTCAGATTTTCCATCTTTTCCTTTTGGAAGTCTCTCTGCCTGCCCCATGCTGTAGGGTTTATCTGGCTGGTTCCACCATTGCCTAAGAATTGGGAGGTTAAGTTAGTTTAATTCTAGTAGGTCTGTTTTGCTTTTGCACTTAGCTGCATCCTCAGTTTAGCCTTGATAGTATTAAGGTGGTATTTTGGCATCTATATGCCATTGCTTGGACTTCTCAATTTGTTCAGAATTTGTGTGGAGAAGAGGCTGCCTCCGTGATACATCGTCCTAGAGATGGTGATTTATAGTGAACGATTCTTCCACAACAATCGGTTGCTCCTTGCTTCTCTTTAGAAGTAAAGGGGACCAATAGGTTAAAAATAAAAAGTTGAGCAAAGATGTATCAGGTAAATGGAAATAAATATCAAACAGTAATGGCAATATAAATATCAGACTAATTAGAACAAAAGGCAAAAAGACAACAAAAAGGAGGGTGTTTGCAATTATTTCAGATCCATAATTAAAATAAAGTAGCCAAGAAGCTGTGCTATGAGAACAAGCAAGAGCCACTTGGGACAATCTGATAGGGAAGTAATCAGAAAAACCTTTCAATTAAAACATATCTAAAAATACTATATAAAATATAATGAATGTCTTCAAATGAGCTCTGAAGGAAGTAAGAGAAATTCACACTGGCTAAAATCAAAGGAGTCTGTTCATGAGCTTATGCAAAATATGATAAGAGCAAGGAGATCAAAAACCCTGGGAGAGTTTACCATTGGGCTGAACCAGTAAGTTGCAGATCTCTAACTGCTGAAAATAAGAAATATCCACTGGCTCAATTTTACAGTAAGAGACTCTCACTAATGAACCACTAGCAGACATCATTGAAGAAGAAAATCGAATCCAGAATGAAGGAGTGAGATGTACAAAGGCACAAACCAAGTTGGTAAACAGGAAGTAGATCTGAGTAGGCACTGACTTGACCAAGGTGATAATAATTGCTTATTACATAATGACAGTGATTAACTTCTGGGGCATATAAAAATAAGGTGGAACTAAATACTAGAACCTGGACTGGAGAATGTCATTTTTCCTGTTATTACTGAAAAAGGTGAGGACTTCCTGAGCCAAGGATTTACAGTATTAATTCGAAGATAGCCATTAAAGGAATAGAAATATAATATATAATTTTGAAACCAACTAAAGGTGGAAAAGAGGAAAGATTAAAAAAATGTTATTAATCTAATAGAAATTAGAAAAGAAAAAAATGAAAGCACAGAAAAAACAAGATAAATAATAACCCCAAAATAAGACAGGAAAATTACATTCGATAATGTAAGTAATCACGGTAATGTAAATGGACTAAACTCTTCAGTTAACAGTGACTGTCATATTCAATTTAAAAAACATCTAGGTAATGTGCTATTTATAAGAGATATGCTTAAAATATAAAGATATAGAAAGAAAATAAATGGAAAAAGATTTGAAGGAAGCAGTTAATAACCTTGCTAATTGTAATGGATTATCTATTTTATATACATATGTGTGTGTGTGTGTGTGTGCGTGTATTTATCTATTATATAGAACCCCGCACATGGAGCATTTTTAAAACACTCAGCCACAAATCAAGTCTTAACGAATATTTAAAAAAATTGGACCAGGTGTGGTGGCTCACCCTGTAATCCTAACATTCTGGGAGGCTAAGGAGGGAGGATCACTTGAGGTCAGGAGTTTGAGACCAGCCTAAGCAAGAGCGGGACCCCGTCTCTACCAAAAATAGAAAAATTAGGCAGATGCCGTGGTGCACACCTATAGTCCCAACTACTCAGGAGGCTGAGGCAGGAGGATCACTTCAGCCTAGAAGTTTGAGGTTGCCGTGAGCTACAATGACACTACCGCACTCTAGCCAGGGCGACAAAGGAAGACTCTCTCTCAGAAAAAAAAAAAAAAATTGCTAGCATACAAGGACATTCTCTGATCACAATGTGATTAAATAGGAAATCAATAACAAAAGTTAACCAAAAGCAAACCAGTATATTCATATGGAAAGTAAAAACAAAAAAACCCTTCTAAATTATATATGGGTCAATGAAAGTATATTGAACTAAACAAGAAATACAATACCACTTACAGAGGCTTATGGCATGTACATGAAGCATTACCTATAGGGAAATATTTGCCTCAAATGTTTATGTTAGGAAAGTAAGAAAAATTGAAAACGATTGAGTTAAGCCTTTGACTCAAGGAAGCAGAAAAAATACAATAAGGAAAAGAAAGGAGAGTCAAAGATAACAGTAATGATTAATGAAGTAGAAAATAAAGAAACAAGAGACCATTTGTAAATAACAAAAATAAAAATGACTAATCAAATAGACAAACCTCTGCAAGGCTGATCAAGGCAAAAAAGAGAAAAGGTGCGTATAAGCAAGCCGAAGGGTGAAAAGCGGACACAATGAGAGATGAGTAGACACAGGCAGTCAGGAACACGCTCGAGACTCTGGAAACATCCAGACACTTGGACAGACTCGCGATGCTCTGTGTTCAGCAGAGTTGTAGGTGCGTGGCAAACGCGAGCACGCGTCACCCTCACAGCAACACTACGAGGAAGGTAGTTGACTTTCTCAGGTTACATATGAGGAAATTGAGGCACGGAAAGATTAGGCAATTGAAAAGCAAATAGTTGGAACAATAAAAACAACCCAGGGGAAATCTACTGATACAAGTGCTCACTGCTGAAATCCCAGCTCCAGGCAGGCCACGTTGGCTTCCCTCACGCTCCAGCTTCTTTCACATACGAACGTCTTCGTATCTTGGTCTACAAGTTTCACTTCAACAATTCCCTCTGAGTTTGTATTTCCATACAAGGAAACACTAAATTTTCCTAAAATAAAAAATAAAAGAAAATAAAGAACCAAAAGAATGAGCAATATTTAGGCATTGACTTTTCCCACTCTTAATTAAAAAGCCTTTAAAATAATAAAATACACCATTTCAAATTGCCTTTCAATACCATGCAGACTTTAAGAAATAACGGGAAGCAGTTACTTTACGACCCTTGCCACGTGCCAGTGGCTGCGCTGCCTCATTGTACAGAGACCGTTACATCCTCACGCCACCCTGTGCGGATTGAGACTATGTCTATCCCCATGTTTGCATGGGAGGAACCTAAATCTAGGAGAAGTCAAGCTACTGGCCCAAGTGAAGAAGCCAGAAATTGGAACCTCCTCAAACTGACCTTACTCCAAAGTCCAAGTTCTTAAAAGGAAGCTAAACAATTAATGAAAATATAGAGAGGGTTTATGTATTCTCATAGATTTAAGGCATTTAGTGCCTCAGGAGAAAAGTCTGACACTGACAAGATAACCTCCTCTCCTGCCTTCTCCCTCCCCGGTAGATAACAGAAAGGGGCTCAAACACCAAGCTTTGTTCCTCCTTTTCCACAGTATCTCATATTGGCGCTGTGAGCTGTGTGTAATACTGCCTTTACCAAGAATGCTTTCAGCATTCCTAAGGCCGGCAGTGTCTGTGATCACTTGATACCAGAAGACAATGAGCCTAAGTGGTGCTGTCACAGCTCAAATTTAAGGAGTACTTTCCGTTTGCCAAGCACTGTGAGAGGAGCTTTTCATAGATCACTCTGTTTAATTTTCGCAAGACGCTTATACTTATAATTTAGAAACTTCTATCATTCACATTTGACAGATGAGGGACCTGGGTCCAGAGAGGCTGCCCAGCTTGTCAGTCACTGAGGTGGGATTTGAGACTAATCTGATGGAGAGTGAGATCCCTGATCCTAATGTGAACTAAAATGCTCACCCTCCCACCGGCTGACTGAATGGACCCCCTGTGGCCAAAGGAATATCCTAAAGCAAAATTGCCTGCCAGGAGGAGGGAGATCAGACATGCCTTATCATGCCCCCCTCCCTTCTTGGAGACTTCCTTTGTAACCCATTAATAGGCCTAAGGGTATGCAAGACACACCTGCAGGTCCTCAATTTATGCAACAAATGATGGCTTATCTCTGGTAAACAGTTTATGTTAAAATATTCCAAGCCTTTAGATGAAGCTTCATGTCTTTAGCCAATTACAATCCAAAGAATCTTTAAACCCACCTATAACCTGTAAGCCCCCCCCACCCGCCCTTCGAGATGGCCCACCTTTTTGGGCCAAACCAATGTATGCCTCCCACGTATTGATTGATGGCTTTACCTGTAACCCCTGTCTCTCAAATGTATAAAAACCAAACTGTAACCCAGCCACAACGGGTCCACTTGCCCAAGGCCTCTGGCAGTGGCTCTGGGTGGTGGTCCTAAAATTTGGCTCATAATAAATCTCTTTAAAATTATTTTGCAGAGTTTGGCTTTTTTCCGTTGACACTAACTTCTCCGTGAATCCAAATGCTAAAGCCCAGCCTCCTCCTTACATTCGGCCCCTGCATGCAGTGTAGACAGTCTCTGTGGCCTGCTGTGCCAAGTGTGCTGGGTTGGAGCATGTCCTGGGTCAGCGGCAGCTCAAGCCTGGTGGGATAATCAGGCCAACAGGGTCAGGGCTGGGGGAGACGGATGCTGGGAGGAACTGTTGGGGCTGGAGGTCCAAAAGGGGGCCTGAGGCCTAACTAGTCTACATTTCAGGTAAAGACTTCTTCGCTGGGTTCTGAACCAACTCCGTGTCCTGGAATAATCCTTTTAACCGAGTAGAAGTGAGGGTGGGGGACAATCTCAAGTCTGGGCTGTAGAGAATGGCACAGGCCCGGAGGGGAACGACTGGACTCAGAGGCTGGCTGGGTTCTGGTGACTCCTGGTTTCTTTGGTTATTACTCCAATTACTGTTGAGGGTCTAGAGAGGAATTTTGAGTTGTTATCATACTATTTCACAGGGAAAGTATTTTCTAATAGAAAGAATGGCATACGGTTGCCCTCTTATATCATGGAATGACTTGAAAACCAGGCTTTTCCTACCTCCAGCTTTGCACGTTCCATTGTGTAAGAACTTTGTCGTTGGTTGAAGACATTCCAAGCTCTTCACATGACAGTATGTCGGGTATTTTCTCCCGTTAGTCGCACACACCTCAGTGCCGTTCTTTGGGCACTGATACGGGAGTTTACACACGCAAGTCCCGTCGATGCACTTCTGCCATGGCTGGCAGAAGACCTTATTGCAGGAGAGGTGTGTGTATTTTTTTGCTAAACACTTTTTCTCCACCAGATCCTCTTGAGATAAGTCTGATGTTAAAGTGGCCTGTAAAACACAAAATAAACATTAGCATAGCAACAAACTAAAGTCTCCTGATTGAAGATGAGTAAATGAAGGAAAGGAGCAAAACAGACAGGTGTGGGTGGTGTGGTCTGGTGGCTTTAAGAATCAGAAAAACCTGGGCCAGACAGGGTGGCTCACGCCTGTAATCCTAGCACTCTGGGAGGCTGAAGTGGGCGGATTGCTTGAGTTTGAAACCAGCATGAGCAAGAGCGAAACCCTGTCTCTACTATAAATAGAAAGAAATTAATTGGCCAACTAATATATATAGAAAAAATTAGCTGGGTATGGTGGCACATGCCTGTAGTCCCAGCTACTTGGGAGGCTGAGGCAGTAGGATCGCTTGAGCCCAGGAGTTTGAGGTTGCTATGAGGTAGGCTGATGCCACAGCACTCACTCAAGCCTGGGCAACAAAGAGAGACTCTGTCTCAAAAAAAAAAAAAAAAAAAAAGAATCAGAAAAACCTGGCTTCTAGTCCCAGTTTGGGTATTTACATTTAAATGGCCTGGGGCAAGTGACCCTCCTGAAACATGGATTTCCTCATCTGCAAAATGGGGATACTATCTCTTATTTTGCAAGGTTATTGTAAGCATTAGAGATAATATGTGTGTAATGGTTGGCAGATGCCAGATGCGAAATTAGTGGGAGCTCTTATCCTAAGGCCAACATAGAATGAATTGATATGTGAAATTTATTAATTCTACTGTTAAATGCAAAACTCTTCCTGCACACAAAATCCTGCTAAGGTGAACGTGACATGGTCTCTCTGGTGCTAGTGGCACACGGAGCAGGGATGGCACGGAACATGTTTTGGGCACGGTGAGCAGCCCCAACACTCGAGTGTGCAGCACTGAGCGTGCTTCACATGGGTGGCCGCTGGCCAGGAAACTGGGGAGGAAGAGGCAGCAGCAAGAGAGGAGTGTGAGAATGGTTTGGGAAGCAAAAATTTTAGGATTCAATGATTTCATCTGAGGGTGCTCATAGGTTTTGAGGCTGAGTGAATGCAAGGATGTATAGTGCCATTAGCCACAATAGATACCAAGGTAAGGCAGAGCAGTGTGAATTCGGTTTGGGACCTTTTGAGTCTGAGGTGCCTGAAGGACATGCATCTGGGATATTTGGTAGGGGAAACATGTGTCTGCAGTTTAGAAGACAGATTATTAGCTCAGGCACCTTTAGAGTGAGTGAGCACTACTCTGTGCTAGGGAATGCCCTAACCTAGGGTAAAGGGATAAATGTCTCTGCCCTGTGGAGCATGCCAACCCAAAGAAAGACAGGCAAGCATGACTGACAATTTCTCTAATAGATCTGGGCTGGGGATGCCCTTAGGACAGAGTTCTGGGTCCCTGAGCCTGACCAGGAGGCTAGGGACCACTTCTAGGAGCAGCTGATGTGGGGGCTGAGTTCTGAGGGTGCAGAGGGGGAGGTGGGAGTGGGGAGGGCTCCAGACTGGACCGTGGGTTGGACTCCAACAGTGAGTTGGAGGCTGGAGAATAGAGTAAGAAGGTGGCTGGGCGTGAGGGAGCAGGTTCTGAGGGAGCCTCTGAGGGACTGTAGGTGGGAAAGCGGATTTGCATTTTAGGAAGATCCTTGTGGAAATCAGATCAGACGGGGAGAGGCCAATCAGACCTGCAGGAATCCAGAGGAAATATGATGGGGCTAGGAACAGGCCAATTGAGCCAAAAATCAGTTTGTGGAAAGCCAGTGGTCTCTCCCTGTCCCCAGCCACCTCCTGGAGGATGGGCGTCCTGTCCCCTAGTCTCTCGCCCCAGCAGTGAGAGCCTTGTCCTCTCTGAGTGCTTTGCAGCTGCTGCAACAGACAAATGAACAGACTTTAAAGGTTGTTATGAAGACAAAGGCAAGCTAATTGCAACCATGTAAAATTTTGCAAACACTGTAAAAGTCATTCTCTCCAATATGCTTTTCAGTAAACTTTTAAAATCGCCACAGAGATACAACCAGCAAGATGGCGGATGAGAAAAATCGCTAGCTGGAGTGTCTCTGCAAGAAAGACAGATTGTAGATGAAAGTGAAAAAAATAAACAGGCGAACAAACATAGATCAGATGAGGGTCAGAAGAAGGGCGCCTGAAACTACAGGAGACTCCACAGGAAGAAGTTGTGGAGCAGAACTGGAATGAGAAAGGCATTGGCAGGGTCTAAACCATGATAGGCTTAGAGACTAGCAACAAGGATAGGTGGAACAGTTAAATATCCCCTTCCTTGCATCTCAGATTGCCAGTGGGCTCCTGAGCTGCTGGAGACACCTGACAACTCCAGCCCAGAAACAGCTGCTGCCAGTGAGCCATGAGCCTCTTGCAGACAGGGCACCTCCCACCCATAGACCCGAGCTGGTCAGCAGGCACCATATTGCTTCATTCTCCCCTCCTCCTTGCCTCTCCCCCTCCTCCTGCCAGCTGCTGAGACAGACAATTAAGCCACACCTGGAGGCATCTGCAGGGAATGGGACCCTCCCTTTTGGGGCCCTGCAGTGGACTGAAGGGTACTCAGACTGTGAGCTCCCTGCCCGCCAGCCCTCCCAGGTGCCGCTTGCCTGGTGCTCCAGCACAGTGGGGCAAATCCTAAGGTGGAGAGACATTAATCCAGCTTGGGCACCCCGTGGATGACTTGAGACCAGCACTCTTCTCCCTGGCAGGGTGAAGGATTGATCTCCAGACCCAGGGACAGGCCTGCAGGCCAGATCCCATACACTAAGGTCTCATTGCATTGCTCAGGGGCATAGATGGCATATTTCTGAACCATTCTACTGTGTGCCTTCAGGGTCAGATCAGAATGGGTCCTAGCTGCAGCGTACTCAAGGGACAATCCTCCTCCCACAGGAGGGCTGTGCTCCTAGCTCAGGCTGTCATCCTGGGCAGGGAATTTCCCAGCCCACATCACAGTCAGGGAAGATCCACTAGCTTGAGGTCCTGAGGAATAGGGGAGTATGGAAGGAAGCGAGGCCTGCTCCAGACTGCAGGTCTCAGACAGCCCCACTTCCACATGCAGACTTTTTGGCTAAAAGGGACCATTTCAGCTTTGCCAAGAAGCAGAGAACAGAACTTTGATGCTTGCTAACAGCATTTGTGGAGCTTGAGGGCAGGCTCACCCAGCCCAGCCCAGCCAGCATCACTCTCCCACTTAGTTCCTGCTGAGGTGGAGAATAAGGACACACCTGGAAGTCCCAGGGCCCCACCCACCACCTGAGGCACTAGAGTGCCTCTCCAGAGGAATGACAGCTGGTTACAGGATCCAAAAACAATACTGCAGCCTGCTCCTCCTAGCAAGTACCACCTATTGACAGGGAGGTCAATTTACACACCCTTTTACTACATCACACAAGGTGTGGTCGAATCTCACCCACAAACACCACCTACTGGCTCAGAGACTATACTGGGAATGTCATTATCTAAATGAAAATCTAAAGGTAATAAGCAACAGCTGCTCCAGATGGGCAGAAATTAGTGAAGGAACTCTGGAAGTATGAAGAATCAAACTGAAAGCACAGCCCCAGAGGGGAACACCAGCTTTCCAGCAATGGATATCAACTAAATTCAGAACACTAAAATAACAGAAGAAGAATTTTGAATATGAATTGTAAGAAAACTCAATGATATGCAAGACAAAATGAATACCCAACACAAAGAAACCACACACACACACACAAATGCAGGACTTAGAAGAAAAATTCACTGAAGAAATCAAAATATTAAATAAAAATCAAACAGAACTTCTAGAAATGAAGAATCTATTCAAGGAATTACAAAACACAGGGGAAAGCCTCAAGAATAGGGTAAATCAAACACAAGAAAGAATCTCAGGGATTGATGATAACACCTTTCAATTAAATAAGTTCATTGCAGAGATATAGCAAACAAATAAGAGAAAAGAGAAAAGCCTACAAGAAATGTGGGATTATGTGAAGAGGCCTAATGTGAGAATCAAAGGTATTCCTGAGAGTGAAGAAGAAAATACACAAGGGTTCCATAAGCTATTGGAGGATATAATAAAGGAAATTTCCCAAGATCTTGCTAAAAATCTAGATTATCTAGGTACAAGAAGCTCAAAGGACTCCTGAGAGATTCATCACAAACAGGAAGACGCCACGACACATAGTCATCAGACTGGCCAAAATAAACATGAAAGAGGCCCTCTGACAAGCTGTAAGGTAAAAGGAGCAGGTAACATACAAAGGAAAACCCATCAGACTAACTGCAGATGTTTCAACTGAGACCTTACAAGCAAGTAGAGACTCAAGCCTCATTCTCACTCTTCTCAAATAGAATAATAGAATATGGTACTATAACCAGCTGCTTAATGTGCATTTAGATAGTTTCCAATGTTTTGCTATTATAAACAATGTTGTATTGAATCATCATTTCCTACATATGCTAAGTATATCTGTCAGATACTTATCTGGAGGCAAAATTGCTGAATTAAAGAAATGAGGTTTCTCTTCAGATCATATAAATCTTTTGCCTTTTAAAGAAATGAGCAATTTTCCTACAGAAAGATATTACCTATGTGAGAATGCCTAGTGTCCAAACCCTTAACCACAGAGTATCTTATTAACTTTTTTATCTTTGCTAATTTGATATGTAAAAATGTTACGAGACTATACTTTTATTTGCATTTTTTCTCAGTGAAGTTGAGCATCTTTCAATTTGATAAATGCTCAAATTTTAAAAGATTTTTATTTTTTCCCCAATACTGACCTTATCTTTTACTTTTAATCTGATATAAATTGGATTTTTCTTATTTTTGTAGGAACTTTTAATATATTTAATATTAAAGAAATCAGCACTTTGTCGGGAATATGAGTTGCAAAAATTATTTGTCTATTGACAAATGGCAAACCTAGCATAGTTTTCTCACCAACTAGATACTTTTTAACTCCCCCCATACAATAAAATTATCTTCAGTAAAAATCATGAAATGAAAGGAATAATGAATTATACAGAAAATGCAGTGATCATTTTCTTTTAT